ACTCCTAGTGGATTTCTCTCATCTCATTCTGCCACTTCTCAAATACAGTTGTCATTTTGCTGTCATTTTTCTGCTAAATCCAAAGCTGCTAGGAAGCAGTACTGTGCATCCTTGTCTTTCTGCTGTTGGGGTGACCTTTGTTGGCACCTTCTGGTTTGTTGTGTTTAGTCTACTCCAATGTCCCTTATGCTGGTCCTCTCGCATACATTATTAACACAGTGCAGCTGGTACAAAGCCTGCTTCTAGGAGTCTGACTGGTACCAGACAGAGGGGGGAGTATACAGCAGCTCTAGCTGGAGCTTGTTTATGCTGGTTGCTATTCAGAATCTGTATTTATTTAAAGTTGCTCCTTTTGACCTAAAAACTCCAGTGGAATTGAGGTTCAGATTACCTTTTGGTGGCTGTATCCTGTTTTGGTACCTGCCTTTAATCTGCAAATATTGTCATGTATGCTGAAAAGCATACTATGAGATTCTGAAGCTCTGGGAGCAATATAATCTTTACAGAAAAATTACAATAGTCAGGCTCTGTTTATTAGTATCCTTTGCATTTTGTTGCTGTTACTAATTGTGACTGCTTGGAGGCTGTAGTTTACTCATGGAGATTATAAATAATCTTAAACTTCTAGAGAATATAAATGATCTGTACATTCACAAGTTCTGTATTAAAATGTGTTTAAAAAACAAATAAAAGCTAACATACATGCTGTGATGTTAGGTTAGGTTTAGTGAGTATCAGGCTATACAGTACTGAAAGCTTGGGGTAGTGGAGGGTGAGACTTGTATTGATGGGCACATATGGTGCAAGTGAATTGATTTTTACCCATGTGTTCTGAATCCAAAGTAGATGTGCACACACATGTAAAGATGTGCAAGCAAGGGCCACTGCATCTAGTATCCCATGACTGCGTTAGATACACTCAGGATGTCTCTGAGGGAAGTGAAAGTGTGTAGTGGCTTGAAACCAAAGTTATTTTTATTATAGTTCACATGAATATAAATCTTAATTACTTCAATACTTAAAATTGGTTTTGATGAATTAATAGGACTCCTTTAAAATGTTAACTAGGGGTCTAGTACCAGATCTAGTTCTGTTTTAAATAAAATAGTCTGCCTAGCGGAACGTACTGCTATATAAATCAAATATGCGTACCTTTGCTGAAATTGTAAAGGTAGTGAAGTACGTAGAGTTGTCAAGGATAGTAAAGGTCTCTCTTCTGTGGTTTCCTGTATTCAATTGGTGGGCCTGGTTTCTTTTACAGTGATTGCTTTTTAATCAATGATTAAGTATTCAGAGTTGCTTCTGGAAATGATTCTTGTAAAACGAGCAAATTAACAGGAAAATTATCAACAGTTTCATGGCGTGTCAGCATGGTCTCAGCTTTTGCTGTAGTTCATATTCAACCCATAATGTTGAAATGAGTAAAACAGAAATACTTTCTCAAGTCACATATGTGCTTGTTTAAATGGTAAGTATGAGAAACTTCAAGGACTTATTTATTTAATTTACTAATGGAAGTTAATGAAACAAACTTGTGTGTATGTGGAGTCAGTCTCTTTTTAGATGCATCTGGCCAGACATTTTAGAAGTACAGTTGCTTTTTCAGTTTGAACTTTTTAGTGAGCAGCTTGTTGTGAAGACAGCTGTAACAAGTCATTCCAAGCTCCCCATATCTGTTAGTGGAAAAACTACTGGTGAAAGTTATGATAAAAATAAGGATACTACACCATAGAGTATAACATATTGTTAACATACCGCACACATTCACGTTCATGTTTCTACTCTGTTGTGACTATGTCTAAAATATGTCTGCGCAGATAAAAGCAGCCATAAATGCATTGTTAATTTATGGTTCTGCGCAAATACATCTGCTGGAAAAAAGGTCCTGATAACTTTTCAATGCAGTCAAATGTCAAACCGAAACATCCCCCAAAACCCCAACCCTTCACGTCTGTGGGCAGAACTCATTTGCAGGAATTTATTATATCCATAACTAAATTATTGGTCAACATCATATTATCATACATATAAGTAAAAACTTTTAGGTTTTTTTTCCCTATGAATTTTATGTATCATGCATAAGCTTAAACTGCCATGTATATGTCTTACAATCTTGCAATAATAAGTAGCATTTGGTAATGGTATATTTGTTGAGTGTGTGTGGGTTTTGTGTAATATTTGTTTCTTTTGGATTTTGGGGAAAATATATTGAAATTCTGAAAATATGAATGAAACTCTGCTTCTCTATGTATACATGCCCTTATATAGTACTTTCACTGAATGTCTGAGCCTCTTCTGAGGTAACTGAACATTTCTATTTTTTTTAGTTACCCACAGAGATACTACCATGTGTGGATTTAACATAAAATCTATTTTGGACAGCTGTGCCATGTATCACATGTGAAGTACTATCATATAAATTCATGTGCCTGTTTGGCACTTTTCACTACTGTGAATGAAAAATAATACCTCTTAAAACAGCTTTAAAAGAAAGATAAAACTTTCTCCTTTTTGCATCCATCAGCATTTTCTTCTCACTAACTGGCATTCAGGAAACTCAAGTTTGTTGGTAATCATGAATCTCACTACTTATGTTTGTAAATCTTTTAACATTGTCATGGAATCATAGAATAGTCTGGGTTGGAAAGGACCTTAAGATCATCTAGTTCCAACTCCCCTGCCATAGGCAGGGACACTACACACTAAACCATGTCACTCAAGGCTCTGTCCGACCTGGCCTTGAGCAGTGGCAGGGATGGAGCATTTACCACTTCTTTGGGCAACCTGTTCCAGTGCCTCACTACCATCACAGGAAATAACTTCTTCCTTATATCTAACCTGAACTTCCCGTTTAATTTAAACCTATTTCCCTTTGTCCTATCACTACAGTCCCTAATGAAGAGTCCCTCTCCAGCATCCCTATAGGCCCCCTTCAGATACTTGGAAGGCTGTTATGAGCTCTCCATGCAGCCTTCTCTTCTCCAGGCTGAACAGCCCCAACTTTCTCAGCCTGTCTTCATACAAGAGGTGCTTCAGTCCCCTGATCATCCTCATGGCCTTCCTCTGGACTTGCTCTGACAGCTCCATGTCCTTGTTTTGTTGAGAACAGCAGAACTGTACACAGTACTCCAAGTGGGGTCTCACGAGAGCAGAGTAGAGGGGCAGGATCACCTCCTTTGGCTTTACCACCTTTTCATTGAACACAGAAATGTTGGGACCCTCATTTTTTAGCTGCTACTTTTGCGTCTTGCAGTTTTTCCTGTCCTTTTCATACCTGTCATCGCTTTTTTTTTCTTGCATCTCATTTGATTATTATTTTTTTCCCCTGTTATAAAAAGTATTGTTTCATGCGCCTGCTTTAATCAGGTGCTACTGATGAAGGATTCCTGTGTCATGTCATTAATTATGTAGGTCCTTTGTACCTGCTTGTGCTAATGGCCATTTGGCTATGAATAGCAACTTAGAGAAAACAACTCTTGTTTCTTTATAATTGTACTTTTTAATGCATCTGCCTCTAGATTTACTTCACTTAATCTGCTGTTTGCTTTTTGTAATAAAAACAGTTTTAACTGGTTTGAAACATGTTTAGATCACAGAAAAAAAAAACAACAACTTAAAAAACCCTAACAAATCATTGGTTTTATGTCCATTTAGATGGCTTTTCATGTGTATTAAAAGTAATTCCAATAGGATGGAACACTGGATTGCTACTCCCATCCAAGTTTGAATTCAAATGCAAAGTATGGCAGGTTTGCTTTTGCAGACAGTGTACTTTTTATAGCGGAGTTCACCTAACTTACAAGCGTCAGAGAGGGATGTTACTGACTTCTGGGTTTGATGTTGTAATCCAAAAGCGACGTAGTACATTTTTAGAACAGGCTAAAATGTTTCATTTGGAAGGTATCTGCATGATCATCTTGTCCAACTGCCTGAGCAATTCAGGCTGACCAACAGTAAACTTGTTTACCATCATTATTTTCTGGAGATGGGATGCAGCTGGTGATAAAGAAGGGTGATGAGTGCACCTGGGGATGTATGGTATAATTCAGTGAGTGCCTGGACTGAATGATGAAGATAGTCATGTTTTCATGAAAAAGTACTTTAAGTATTTGTATTACACTGACCTAAAATAAATGGAATACATTTTCTGTAAAAGTATCCTAGAAGTTACTTGTAGTTTCAATGATAGCTGTTGTAGAGAATCTGCTTTCACAAGAAATTGGCTTGCATGCTATCTTCATGCATTGTAAGACTGAGTAAAAACAAACAAAACATACTGTATCTCACAACATGCTTTTATGTTTTGTGTACTATGAACATAGATCACTGTATTGTTTTGCAAGGGGATTATTTTAACTCAGGATTTCTTTCAGTGTTTACATATAATGAAAGAATACTCCAAGTGTCTTCCTTCATGTTTCCATGGAACTTCTCGTGCACGTGAACCAATAAAAGTTGATGGTGTAAGATCACTTATAAGCTGTCAAACTGGTGATGTCCTGTTGTTTTAAATAAACACTGGTTCATGGCTTCTAGAGAATATTCTCTCTTATTTACTTGATTTGGTGTACTGATTTTCCTCTTTAAATGGTAGAATTAATTTTGAGTACATTCAGCATTGTAACGTGGTCCTGCATTTCAGTAGTAGTAGTATCATGGTAAGTCTGTCTAGTCTCATTTTTTGAAGGCAGTAGTTCTTTCTTTAGAAGCATTTTGTACTGAGAACATTTCTGTCATAAGTGTAATAGTGAAATCAAAATGGTAAAAATCAATTTTACTCAGATTAGATTTTAATCTTTCCTTTCCCAGTCACACTACATGTGCCTGTAATACCAGATTTAATTTCATGGTGGGACAAAAATTTGTTTACATCTTGTTCAGACATGATTTGGTTTTCTGTTTTTTGTTTGTTTGTTTTTGTTTTTTTTTTATGTGACACTTTTTAATTGTAAGCTGTTCACAGGAATGTCTCACTGAATAAATAAATATTCATTTTTCAGAGGCAGATTTCCTCAAAAAGATTTAGAGGCACTGTTTCCTGGGATGAGTGCTGATTTTACTAGTGAAAACTTTTCTGCTGCCTGGTACCTGATTGAGAATCATTCAACAACAAGGTTTGTTGCTGTCATAAATTATTGTTTTAAATGCAAGTTACTTGATACTATTTTATTATAAATTAGCTGTTTCATTGGTGGTTGACACTTAAAGTAATAAACCTGTTCTATGCTACCTGTGGTGTTTCTGCTTGGCTAGTAATCAACCAGTTTGCTCAATGTGGTTACAAGGAAAACTTAATTTTTACTCAGACCTAAATTCTGGCCTCTTTTTTTCCATCCCCAGGCCCATGACATATGGAAGTTATCTTCAGGCTAAAGCCTTTTATGAATCAAGAAGTTAGGCAGTGTGGGCTTAAGTGAAAACTCTAGTCACGTTAAGTGATGACTAGAGGCTGAGGATAAGGGCACTGAACGGACAACTCAGAGCAAAACTGTTAATAGTAGTAGTTAGCTTTTAATTAACACTTGTGGGAAATGCTATAGTAAAAGAAATTTGACAAGTAATATCTTTGCTGTAAATCTCTTAAAAATATTGACCATTAACATTTTAATTTTTAAATCTAGTTCATAATATGTACTTACATGAATGTATTATGTGAATATATTTTTGCATGTATAACTGAGTTTTTTTATCTGCATATGTTTGAATAATACTGGAAGCCATTTTTAGTAGAGATGATGAGCCTTTCTTGTTGCCTTCAGCTGGGTATTCTGATGAGCATTTTGAAGGGAAATACCACTTTGCAAATTTATTTGATTTTTTTTTTTTTTTTTAATCTGTGGTAGAAACAGCTGTGGGTTGGAGCCTTGTGGGTTTTTTTGTTGGCTTTTGATGTTTTGTTGTTTGGCTGGATTGTTGTGGAGTGGTTGTGGTGTTCGGTTTTAGGATCTCCAGAAATAACCATTAATCTACTTGGGAAATACTTCCATTTCCTCTCAGAGTGGTAGTAGATTGAAGAGCCAAAACAGCAGCAAAAGAATCTTATTACTCAATATATATGTATCTTTTGAAATCCAGGAACTAAGAGGAGTGATTCAAAATGAACTATGATAATTTGATAATTTAGGGAGTCATCAGGTTTTTAAAAAAAGCTGATGGACAGTAAAGTGAGAAAAAACAGCTTTTGATGTAGCTGTTTTTAGGAAATTTCCTTTACCTGAGGCCCTTGGACTGTTGCCATCTTGTTGCTCATTCATGTGGGCACCAGTGGTGCTGCCAAGAGAGATGTAGAACAGATCAAGAGTGATAGCAAAGCCCTGGGGACAAAAGTGAAGAGCGCCTTTGATTTACAGGTGAAGGGTAAGGCTTCAGGTAGTGAATGCATCCTGTAGGATTAAGGTTCTGTAGGCTCACAGATGGCTGTACCACTGGTTTCAAAGGCAGCATGTTTTACTTCTGTAGCCATGGATCCATTACTAAAGAACACAGACTGCTAGTGAGAAATGGGATTCATTTGAAAAAGTGGGGTGGGAGCGTCATTGCATTTTGCACTTGTCACCAAAGATTTGCCCTTTGTTGACAAGGACTTCAAATTAGGAATAGCAGGGAATGGTCATAACAGCTTGCAGTTAAGCGAGGGACAGAGTTCTCCATGTTCAGTGATGGCACTGACAGTGCTGTTGGGAATTACAAAACCAATTGGAAGGGTCTAACCACAAGTGCCTTTACACACTCACATGCGGCCTGGGAGATAAGCAATGTGGGATTAGATAAGCATATCACCAGAATAAAGTGGGATAGCTCATGTGCTTAGTGATCTGTGATGGATGGGAAGAGGCCCTCTGAGAAAGGTACCCAGGAAAGAATTGAGAAAAAAAAAAAGTTATTTAACCAGAATTACCAGTTGTTCATGGAATATGAGCAACAGCATATGTAATGGTTATACCTCTAATATAATAGTGTCAGTAAACCCACTGATGCATGTTGGTGTATGTCAACAGTCGCAAGTCATGATCCTCTTGGCCAGTGTATCCCAGTGGAATTAGAAGTATTAATTCTTGGTTTTAAATGAAAGCTGGGTTGTGTTTTTGGTTTTTTTTGTGTGTATTAATTTGGTTTATATTGGTTTATAAAATATAAATCTTATTGTTAAAGTTGCAAAAGCTATGTAAAACTCAACAGGAAGAATGGCTCAAAGAGTAGGGTGAATCCAGTAATGTTTTGAATATAATTATAAGTAGCATTTTAAATAAAGAAGTAAGCCTGTTTTTTTGTTTTGATTTTCAAAAATGTGTAGTTTTAGAAATATTCTGGAATTGTATAATTATCTGCCCCAAATCATTTGTGCTGTTGTCCTGGACACACGCAGCAATGGTTTAGTTCTTGTCCTCTGTGTAACCTCAGGTATTGGGAATGCTAGATGTATGGTGCATTGTTGTTTTGGGTAGCTTATGTCTATTTTTTCCTTGAAGGAAATTCTTTTTAAGCAAACATGGGAGTTTTTTTTTTTTCTCTACCCCCCCACCCCCTGGCAATGTCCTGACAAATATAAACTATTTAAACATACTATTAGATCATCAAATAACATGCAACAGTACTTAAAAAGAGAGCTGCATAGCTTTTTTGTTAGTTTGAAAATGCTTGTGGTAAGTACTACTTGGGTGCCCAAGTAGACCAATCCAGCTATTGAGTAATGTGATTTCTGTCCAGTAGATGGAAACAGGAAGTAAAGCAAAACATATTATAAGGAAATCTATTCCAGCACAAGTGATAGGAGTCCTCCATTTAGGATTAAAAACTAAAACACAAAAACTCTTTGGATTGAGTAAACTGTCATTATTGAGAATCACACTTGTTAGCAATTATTCAGTCCTTAATAGTTGTTGGAAAAGTAGCTGATTTTATTTTCCAAGTAGTTTGTCTGTTTATTCATTAGCTGACTTTATTCGTTGTTCAAATGTCACAGGGGTCTTCTTGTTTGTTTTCAGTTTTGATCAGCTCAAAATGGCTGTTGTGAATTTGAAGAAGCAAGCCAATAAGAAAAATGAAGGAAGTCTAGCTTATGTGAAAGGAGGTCTCAGCACATTTTTTGAAGCACAAGATGCTCTGTCAGGTAAAGATGTTTTGCACTTACTAAATACAGTATAATAGAAAAGACACTATCTGTATGTATGGTTGAATTTTAATATTAAAAATATTGGTTTTCTTCATAATCTCTTCTAAAAGTGTCTGATGAGCCAAAAATCGTTATCGTGTTGGTCACAAGCTGATTGTTGTGGTATATTTGCAAAAGATGGCACCAAATGCCATCTATATTAATTGGAGGCATTTGATGAAACTGCTTAGACCACAGAACCAGAGAAGAGAGGAAATGTTGAACTGGAGATAATATTATGATGGCTTAAAATCTGTAGCAACATAAAAACTTGATTTTTATCCCGTAGTCAGACTAATATTTATATAAATGTTCAGTACACTCTGACTTGAGAAATCAGATGGCTTTTATATTCTGCTTGCCATAGGGAAAATTCCACATACAAGTGAGATTAGCTTAGTTGTCTGTGCCATTTTTGTGCATATATATATATATATTTATATATAAATGCGCAGGCTTAAAGCATAAAACTTGTCTCTGTGGTAACAACTCATTGTGGGCTGCCATAGCGCTGTCTGGTTAAGGACTGTGCTGGATAAGAGTGACACTGCTGGGCCATCCTGTATAGGTTTAACATTTACCACTGTGCTGTTCTTCATGGTTACTGTACATTGCAGGGTTATCACTCCTGATCATTGATCCTGTGTTATGGGTACCATGGGGTAAGAAAACCTGTATCTAGTCATAGCTTCAGCCAAGCTAGAACTTCAGTTGGCTTTAGGAACACTGCTTTGGAGATGTACTGATTTATTTATTTATTTTTTTTTCTTGACAAACTTGCAGGTCACTTAGTTACTGTCTGACAGACACTTACATGTATCACGGAAAAGGGGAGATTTTTTTTTAAGCGGAGTTTTTATGAAGTACAAGGAAAAATAATAGGCTATTACTTGGTGAATCTTAAATATCTTGAAAATGTCAAAATCCTGATTTTTTTTTTTTTTTTCTTAAATAGTTAAAAATCCTAAATTATCCTGAGCAAATACTGATATGTGACTTATTTTTTCACAACTAAATCTGCTTTGTATATAGACTATCAAATAATTTAAAAGATTAAGTTCTATTTCCAAACAGTTACTGCTGTGGATAAAAAGTAGTGCTGGCAGACATGTGTTATCTTGCAAGATTATTTTTTGGACCAGTAAAAACTTAGTGGGATGTACAGAAAGCTAATGCGAACCATAAATGTTGTGAGGTTTTAGAAGGACTGAGCACAACCAAGTGACTTTTCTCATATCTATTGAAGTGTAGGCTTCTTGCCTTCGGAGATTGATTTCATGATAAATGAAGAGGTTGGAGAGCAAACAGGAATGTAAGAAAAAAAAACAGTAATTAATGATAGGGAAAGCAAACTCATTTAGTTCACTAACTACTATGTTCTTAATAAAACAAAAAATCATAGCTGTAATATTGTTTTGCATGTCTTATCTGTATCAATGTTATTTTTACCTACAGTTAGAGTTTCTCATTGCAGTCCTTTAGATAAATTAACTCAAAACTTTGCATGAGTTGTGGTTCTTGGTGCTACTTTTCACCTGTAACTAAAATAGCTTGGTTTTGTTTTCCATCCAGTGATCCCCCTTAAGAGCTCAAAAGGATACAGGGTTGTAGCTTGTGCTGTTATAAACAGTCGATTAAAGTAATAATAAGACAGAATGGCCTTGATGCTGTTGATAAGAAAATGAGAGACTTGAAGTCTTAGTATCTTACAGATGCAGAGCTGTAACACTGAACTGCAGAGGGCTTATCAATACAATATTTTGTATTCTGAATCCAATTTCTTAATGAGGATGCTTGCAGTCACAGCTGCCTTCTGTAGCATTTGAATGTGCATTTGTCCGTTTTAATTGCCTATTAAATGCACTTGCAGAAGTGTTTTGCTTCTTTTCAGTCAAAACCCCCCAACTCCCTGCATATGAATCTCAGCTTTGTAATGCAGAACTGCTAATTTGCCCTTCTTTCTCAGATTACTTTTGAGGGAGTGTAGCTGGAAAAGTTACATAATTTTTGAAACACTTGAACCCTGTGATGGGTACAATCAACTGTTAAGTTAGATGTGGAGAGGCTTCCAATACTAGCAAAACAAAAAGGGTATCTTTGGTAATACACCACTTTTCTGCCCTTACACATGTAAGGGTGAATTTAGATGTCTTATTTTCTCCTTCAAAAAGATGCGACTAGGATTTATATGCATTTAAACAAAGCTACAGTAGGAACAGTTTATATTTGAAAGCTGAAAGATGAGGGACAGACATAGCCTTGGTTCTGCAGACTTTCATTATTTGATGCTGAGCATACAACTGTCACAGATGAAAAGTGACTCAAGGGAAAGTCATTATCGAGCATATCTAGCCTGTCTTCCAGGGTGATTGAAATTTCCTGAGGTGCTTTGTTTTCTTTTGGATTTTTTTTTTTTTTTTAACTCGCTTGCTTTGGGAAGATTTCTGAGCTCTAATGGATCTTCTGAAGACACATTTTTGTTGATTGGCTTTTTTGTTGATACCTCTCAATTTTTCCCTTCAGATATCCTAGGACACAACTTCCAAACCTGGTGATTATGCTTTGTACACTGCAGGTTTGTCGTCTTGTAGAGTGGAGCTATCTGTGTACAGTTATTTCTCCTAGGTTTCCCTAAATTGGTATTTTTTGAAGGAGGCTCACTTTAAGAGGTATTACACTTACTTTACCAGGTACTTCATATTTTCATCTACTGGCACATCTGTTTGTTTTAACATCTTCTAACTCAAGCATATTTAACAGTGCTTGTTTCAAACAGATGAACTTGGTCTGGGAAACCCTGAATTCCTGATTGTAGTGCAGCTTTTTTCATTAATTTGAATCAGTAAGATCAGTCTGATTTTAATTGTACTATGAAACTGTATTAGACATTTCAATGAGTATTAATAATTTCACAAGTAAGCATTGAAAACCATAAAAAGCTGTCCCAAGATGTTTACTGTATCTTGTGGTTTAAAAACTGTTTACTGAGAAAGTTAAGAGGTCAAATAGGACAGAACCTTTGTTTGTTTGGTTTAATATCTTGGAAAAGAGAATTGCCTTATCAGATCCTCCTGTCTCTGTGCCCATTAGCTTGGCTGACAGTTTGACAGTGACTTTGCTGCAGAGGTACAACGGGAAGTTTGTCCCATCAGCTGAAGGGCCCTGTAAACTGAGATGAGGGCAGCTGGGCTCACTTCAACTTGACCCACTTGTCAGTGTTGGGAAGTTCAGCTGATTTATTTCCCATAATTCTAATTGCAACCTAGAAAGTAGAACTCCTGTAAGGACTGCTGTTTATATGCTTGTGTTTTATTGTCATGAGCAAGTCATGTCCTGCACAGAAGTCTTTGTGAAGTGAGTAAATTAATTTACTTCATATATACTTTTTCAGAAGCATTCTTTACAAAGAGCATTTGGTTGCACAGTTACTTTTAAGTGTAAAGGGAAAAAAAAAAGAAAATTTAAGTGAAAGGAAAAAAAAATAGGGAAATGACCACTTCAGACACTCTATGCAAAACATGCCAATGTAACATCTGTATTGGCAAGTAAAGAAGATGATGTGTCTTTGAAACATGGGTATGTTGAACAAATTTGTGATTTAGGTTTGACTTTCTGGTTTGCCATGGCAACAGTTCCTCTTGTGCAGTTTCAACTACAAACACATTTTATTTGATTTAAAAAAAAAAAAAACTATATAAAAAAAGCACTGCTGACTATTGCAGTATTACTCCTTTTTCCCCTTTCCAGTCCTGTTCAGAAGTGTGGCCTGTGAGAATGCTGGTATGATAGGAAACTTGGACTGCAGTTGGCCTTTTGTCTATACCCTACATAATACATAAGATAATTTTTGCCTGGCTGAAATGACCCTATATCTGCTCAGTGTCTGGGTTTTGGGTTTTTTCTTTGTTTTTTTTTGTTTGGGTGGGGTTTTCTTTCCTCCCTCCTTCTTCCTATAGGATATTTTTATACTTCATCCCCTAAGGCCCATTCTAGGATGAGCATGTCAGGGATCCAGGATCTGATTCAGTATGAATAAGTGGATTCTGTTGCCATTATGTCTGTTAAATTAATTTGCTCTGAAATTAAAACCAAAGAAACCACTGGGTCTATGTTCAATTCTGAGTCAGACTGGGAATTTGAGCAAATTTTAATTTAATTGCTGTGAATTTTAAACTGATGCTTGTCTGTGCTCCTTCACTTCTGGCTTTTGAAGAGTTATGTCATCTTTGAATCTAAAGAGAGCGCATACAGCCAATTTTTCATTACTGATTCTCTTTGCAAACTAGACTGATGACTTTCACTAATTTTGAAGTGGTTTTACATAGCTAGTTCTTAATCTCGGTTCACTCTTTTGTCTTTGTTTGTCAAATGAAATGCTAACCCATGACTGGTTTTGCTAGGTGGTACAGCATCAGACTTCTATACCAGGTTTTGCTGTCGTCACGTTCCTGTTTTGTAACATACCTAATTCATGGTTTTGCTTTACTTCGGTCTCATACATTTTCTCAATACTATGAATTTTTATTAAACATATGGATTTGAGTAAATCAAGTTTGGACATATGACTACTACCTAAATATTATGCAGCTGACTTGAAATGGGGTAGAATAGTTCTGTGTTGAATGCTATGTGTGGTGCATCTCCACTAATGTTAACTTCCTCATCCCACTTCAAGTGATAGAAGGGCCTTTACAGGATAAGAGCAGCCTGCTACTCCAGGGAGCAGTTTTCTTAACCTCTATGAATTATCATATTAAAAGAACAGGGTAAATGAAACAAGCTGGCAAGGATAAAACTAGGATGTTGTATGTGTCATGCTTGTATTTAACACTATCAGTCACTTCAGAGTAAAAGTTTACAGGCATGTATGTGTCCCACAATAAATGCAAGTTAGATTATTTCAGTTCAAGAATCAAGATCATGTCTCCCAAGTAGTCATGAAGCAATAGCTGATGTGCTGTAAGCTCACTGTTTAGTTTTCCAAGTGGATGCTCATGTCTAAAGGCGTGAGGTATCTTTGTGCTACCCTTATAGACAAAAGCTGAATGAGAAGCAATTGCCCTAGCATTGTTACATATGTTGCCCTTACATTTATGGGCCTCCTTATGTATGTATAGTGAAAGAACAGGCATACTGATTTAAGTTCTCTTATTGAAAATTTATGTTCTAATTTTGCAGTACTAGATAACAAGGGAGACATTGCAATGAGCAATGTATGCTGAGAGAGAGATGGCCTGACAAAGGAGTGGCAGTAAAGTACGTTAAGTAGTGATAGGTAGTTTGAGTGGTTTAGTCTCATGCAGATGCTTCTTCTTCATGCAATGCCTATGATCAGTTTCTGTAGCAGACCAATTTTTATCTTACTGTAACTCTAAAAAAGCACGAGTTGTGATTGTGATTGATGAAAGGCTTAAACTTTCCTTTTATACATGTTCCAGGATAGCTTTGTGTAGGGGGTGTTTTTTGTCTCAAGCAAGAGATGGTCTGATTTTAAAAAGTGTGAAACAGCAGGAATTGTCTTAGTCCATAGTGAAAGTTCTGTGCTCAAGCCAGTATCTGATTTTATTGTGACTATTCATATAGAATAGCTTCTGTTAAATCGGTAATTATTTTAGAGACAGAAAGTAACTGCTAGCAGTATTTCTCCAAGTGTATGCAGTCATGGCAGCTGTTAGCTACTGTGTGACTGTCATGTTTTGTCAATTTGTGTTTTTCAGGTAAGTTAATTTTTTTTTTTGTTCACTCTCAAAAAAAAAAACAACATCAAAAAGAAAGATTGGGTTTGCAGTTGAAGTTTTCAAATGTAATCAACTGCAGTTATTTTCTAAGTGTGTAGAAAATTACCCACGATTAAATTTGTGGCAGACTTGACCTACAAGCTATAAAACCAGTTTAATTTCATGTTACATGATTCCATCTTGATTTCCATACCATTTTTAAAATACATGCAACATTTAAAAGCTGGTTTTATTTCTTCCATTAGCTTTTGTAGGTAAAGCGGCTTAGCAATGTATTGGTAAAAAGAGAATAGCATTTCCCATACTCTAAAAATCATAAGCATATCAAGAAAACTTGGGGAATAAGAAACAACCAAAACAGACAAAAAAACAGCAGTATTGACTAATGTATAATACACTTTTTTTTTAAGGTTTTCATAGTGTAATGTATTGCTAGCTTCATTCATGACATGCTGTCTTTATGTATTGCTTTGTTGCAATATAATATATATAAATTATAAATTATAACATATAATTTGCTCATTATATGCAGCTATGCACTCCTGTGAAGAGTTTCTGCCCTACATAGGGGTGCTGTTCTCATCAATAACTTTCTTATATTTTTTTCAAATTAAAGAAAGTCATTAATCTTTTGATAAAGGAAACCAAAGGCGTTTTTATTCATGCACTGCTGTGAATCCTGGCAACATCTTAACATGTGTTTTTCATCCCTCCATTACTGTGCTGTGGTGCCAAGTTCTTTATAGTTAGCACATCAGATCTTCAGAAATACTTTGCTGAGTCAGTTTTTCCTTTTTTTTGTATTGACTCGTCTTCTCTCTCACACCTCCTCTTATTTTCTACATCTGACTAAAAGGGTTTGGGATAAGATTTTTCATATATAGTGCATTTCTAGCCATCTTTTAATCAGAAAATGGTGGAAAGCTTGCAGCAGTGTTGCTTTGAGCTGAGTTAGGCTGAGGAGGTTTTGAAAATGCCGCTCTTCGTGCCTATCACAAAATATATTTTAAAAATGTAAATAAAAATAAAAAATAAAAGAATGAAATTTGCAAGTCAAAAACTGCATGATCCTGGCAAGTGTAGTTTAATTTGTTAGATTTATGGTTGCCAAGTGAAAAACAATATCCTTCCTTAGATGAAATAAAATTGTTTTCAACACAAGCAACAACAAATTAATCGCGGTTTATTTTGCTACAAGGCCTGTACATAGGTCTATTTGCCAGATTGAACTTTGCATGTGTTTTGATCAAGTAGAACTGATTCTGAAGTATTTAGTCACAGTTTAGAGACTGTGAGCTGTAAACTTAGTCTCTTCACTATTGTTAGAATCTCAGTGCAGCTCTGAAGTCTGCAGTTGTTTAAGTATTCTGATTTAGCTGGGAAGCTCAAATTTGCAACTATGATACAAACCACCATTAATTTTCTGGCCTTAGCTGAATCATCTAAATCTAGCCCCTCCTCATCTTTGTTTATTGTATGCTTCTTACAGTAAAGCCATGACCATCATGATAAAATTTTTAAATAAGCTGCCTTCAGCATGTTTTACCTTTTGTTGCCAGTATATGGGCATTGCTAAATATTTAGATGTTGCAGTTTGGTTTTGAAAGTTCTTAGGTATGTCCCCTTCAAAAGTAACATTATAGTTAATTGGTCAGCAATTAATGTTATGCAATTAATAGTTCCAAAAGACTAAATTTTAAAAACATCTGAATAACAATAACATCTGAAGCAATATATATCTTTGGGGTCTTTTATCCACATCAGTTTAGAAAGTATCTTTCAAAAATGTGCTTCACAGAATTATTTCAAAATATGTAAATTAAAATCATTGCACTTTGATGCAGTTCCAGTAGTACTTACAGCATTTGGTTTTAAAATATCTATTTATGTTGTGGTTGCTGTTCTGATGAGCTTGACTTTCAGTATGTAACATTAATTGCACAACAGTAATTGGCTCCCCCTGTATATAAGATGTATATAAATGGGATAATATGATCAGAACCTTTAATGTTTTGTTACATAATTGTAGAGGTATTCTTACAGGTAAGTGGTGTCCATGTCATCAATGTGATGTAGACTTTTAAATTTTAAATTTAAAAAGCCATCTCTTAAGATAGACCTCTGTTCCTTTAAATATTCAAGAATCTTTTAGATATATTTCATTTCATGCAAGTGTTGATTGTCTTAAGTAATATGGTTTCCTAAAATGTTTTTCTTCACTAGTGACTACAGTAACAAAAATAAGATGATGCTCTTGCATTTTCAAGAAAGCAGAGCCTCCTGAAATTCTTTGTGTAGGATCAAGGGATTGAAGGCTCAAATTTACATGTTTGAGAATAATGGAATTTTATTTGTTTTTTTTTTTTTTTTTTTTAAAAACTCACACACCCCCACGCATACACACACACCCCCATCCCAATGAAAATTCATCCTTTGAAGGAGGCAGGAGACTATCAAGGGCCATTGTGTTTCAGAATAGCCACTGCCTACAGTATGTCTGAGGTCTGTCTCATCCTTGTTTGCTTTTTCTTAATTTGCAGCTACAGAGCATGGGTATTGTAGAGGAAACCAGTTGGCGATGACATCTCTATGTGCACATTATATGCAGTTTGGGGTGGTATTTTAAACTATCTTAAGTGGATTGAATTCCAGGTATCTCCTGGAGCAAATTAGGTACACTCATGAAGTTCATCTTTTAGTTTTATATCATCTTAAAAGAATCCAGTTGAGGGACTCGGGTTGCTGTTAAAGCAACAGGAGCTGATGGCTGTTTTATAGAGCTAATTTTACATAATATAACAAATTTAAAATTTGAAAGGAAAGTAACAGTTTTAAATATTTGCTTTATATATGCTTTATGCAGATATATAGGGGTATTACCTTAAAAAAAAAAAAAGAATCCCAAACAAAAAAGAAACTGTCTGTGCCACTCGCACAGAGCAGAGGAGGGAATGAATGCTGTGTAAGAGAGGGGAAGTAAGAAGAAAAGAAATGAGTATCTACACTCCATTCACTGTTCATATTTCCAGAGTGGTATAGTGTAGTCAGTGGTAAATCTCTCCCTGAAAAAGAAATTATTGTAAAACAAACAAATTAATTCTAATACTATTCATTTCCACATCCGTTAGTACTGTCATGTGGAAACAAGACTTGAGGCTTTTGGTATTCTATGACAGGAAAAAAAAATAGAATCATTAAAAAAAAAAAAGGGTAAACTCCTCTTTTTCATACTGTTTTGAGCAAAAGCATCACAATGCTTCTGTGTAATGCTTAATGCAGTATATTCCTATACGATACTCTTAATGTGTCTGGTTTGAGAATGAGTTTTTATATAGGAAAACTACTAGTGGAGGTGTGTTCTAACACTTAATTTTTGGAGTTATCCAAATTCTCTGTGACTTTTTACCCATAAATTAGTGGTGATTCATTTTTTGCTGAGATCACTGTAAAAATTTGGTCTTACAAAGCAAAAATATTTTGTACTTAAATTATACTTATTTTCAAAATATTAAATTCACACTTGTATTACAAGACAATTAATTGGGATTATTTCCATGTTTGTGTGTTTGAGTTTTTTTGTTGGTGGTGGTTTTGGGGACCTGTTTGTTTGTTGTTTGGTTTGTTGTTTGTTGTTTGTTTTTTTTTTCCTTGAGCATTACTGTCTTGTTCAGGAAGATACAGGAAGTCTGTAAAGTCAAAGTAATGGTTAAAATTCTGCAGTGTCTGGCTCTAAGCCCTGTCCTTCACTAGACTCTGCTGCCATGAAGCATGCTTGTATTTTTCTGTGTCTAACGAGCAAAATAATACTTTAATTTTAAAAATGTTTAGAAGTGTCACTTTGATATAATGTATTCCTACCTATTAAAAAGTTCTGCATTTTAACTAGACACTTTATTCCAGCAATTCATCAGAAACTGGAAGCGGATGGAACAGAAAAAGTAGAAGGATCCATGACGCAAAAACTGGAGAATGTACTGAACAGTGAGTTTTGTCTTTCCAGCAACAACTATTTGTGGACTTTGGACTTTCTAACAAGCTTTAATATATTCCTAGGAATATAGTAGAAAACAGTACAATCTCTCCTGACTTTTCTGTTTGATGGTAGTAATTTTAGGGTGTGATGGTATGCCTTTTGAAGTAAGTAGCAGGTTTTGCCATGACTTTCATCAGTCTTTCTGTTAACAAAAAGAATAAATATCAAAATAAAGAGATGTTCTAAAGCATTTACTTTAAATGAATTTTGGTGGCATGTTAATTTTGAGTGGATAAAGAATACAGAGGAGGTATATGGACAGAAGTGTAGAAGGATGAGCAAAGCTATATACCAAACTTTAAGAAGTTTGAGCAAAAGAGGAAAAAAAAAATACAGGTTGTTTGCAATAACAGGGTTTATTAACAGAATCTTTTTCACTTAATATGCTGCCCTTTAGACTATTAGCCTTCTTTTCCGAAATTCTGAAAAGCTGTCAGTGCTTTCTTTTCTGTGTCTCTGCATTGGCTGTAAGGTTGCATTCAGAGAGATGGCTTGAATTTGCTGCAGTTTGGTATGTGTTTCATCAGATCAAAAAAGTTCCTTTTTTAATTCTGGGATTTCTGCCAAGATAATTTTACTTTGTTTCATTGTGATTTTTTTCACAGAGGAAGGGATGTTTCCCTTAGTGCTGTATCAATAAGCAGGAATGACATGCAGATAGCTGACTCAGTGTTGGAAAGTTGGAGTGTGTTTTATGAAATCAAGAAAGTGACATGGAAGTTCACTGTTTGCTTTCTTCATACAAGAGAAGAAAGTGACTGTATGTGTGTTTGTGTGGGGAGCACAAAGAAAGCAGGGAGTTTTGTGAACATCTCCTGCTCTTTTCAGTAGAGATTCATTAATGCTTACAATCAAGGTGTAGTTTGAACAGTGTTATTCCATGATCTTGTTGCCTGGAATGCAAAACACTCTCTCCCCCCCCCCCCCCCCCCCCCAGCTTCCCAACCAAAAAAAAACAACCTACAAAAACCCACACTTGCACTATATACAAAAACTGTAGTGTGTGTCTGTATGTGCAGAATATGTGATACATATAGGATAGGAGAAAAAAGCATTTGCCAAATTGCCAGTGCAGTTGTCACTGCTTTGTGCTCTGTATTTATGCCATGTCACGCAGCAGGCACACATTCCCTGAAGAGCACTTTCCCTTTGACAAAATTGTCTGATAGCTTTAAATAAAGAAGCAGAAATTTAGATCTGTGACATTTTTGTACACACACTAATATGAGACAAATCTACCTGTAGTATGTAATTATTATTTCATTTGGTAAGTGGTAGCAGAAATGTGTATGCAGGTAATGCTGACTGTCTTTTTCAAGCTGGATCTGTAGACGAACTTGTGCCAGGCACTTCAGAGTGGTATTAAGTTTGGCTCTGCTGTGAAAAGAGTTGACTTCTTTTCTTCCCAATACTTTGCAAGTCATGATGGGTGGGAGGCAGGGAAGTAGGAATACAAGGATTTAAAAAGAGTAAATAATATTATGCAAAGTAGTTTAGGATCAAAGCTTTGTTTCTAGTTTGACCACTGAAATCTTCAATGATCCAGGAGTAACAGGGCCTGCTTTCAAAAGTTACTTCTAATCTTTAGTCCCATAGGTACATATTTTGAGGCACAATTGGTGGTGTGAGCTTGATTGCAGAGTCCAAAGAATAAGGATGTTTTCCATAACATCTGAATGTACATAAAGTGTGTGCTAAATTATTGTACTGAAATGGCATGGGTTAGTAGAATCAAAATCTGGTGTTATAGGTGGAATTATAAATGCCTGGAGTTTTTGCTAAATTCCTAAATTTAATTGCTAAATAAACTATTAAATACACATTTGTAAAAATCTATGGTGTGCTATAATGAGCTTCATGAAGAGTTTTGTCTTAAAGGAGGTCAGTCAAATTCTATGATGTGGTGTTATTGTCAGGCTCTATGAAAAACAACTATTGGATAACTAGAGCTTTATTTTGAAATCAAAAAATTTGCACAGAGTAGATGAATCATCTATTTTGAAAACATAGTTAGTCAATATAGGATCCAAATCTTTATCCATTGATTATTTCAGTTTAGATTATTCATCAGTAATCAAGAGATAGAGATTGTTGATATAGAAAGGATTTGGAGGAGGGAGGCGAAAAGAAATTTTACATTTTCCCTTTAAGCCTAAAAATCAGACCCATTTTGCATGACATATTGAATTTCAATAAGACAGTAATAAATAATAAAATAGATTTCAATTTCTATGTAAAACAGAAAAAGTGTGCAGAGAATAATTTACTTGAGGATTTGTAAAGCAAGTTGATTCGTAAAGATACGAAGGCATGTAGTTCTAAACTAAACATGGAATTCACTGTGCTATTCCTGCAGTTGCCAATTAACTTTTAAAAACATTTGCCTTGAGTTAAGAAATTGCTTTGTGAATATAACTAATTCTCAGATACAGTACATTAGTTCTTGGCTGTTAAAAGAATGGACAAAATCCGTATGAATTCAAACAAATGTTACTAGAAGGATTTACAAAACAAGCATTTACTATAATCTCAAGAGAAAAATCATACTTTATCAAGTGGTCTGTATGTAAATGTCCAACTAACTGTTTTCTTTGTGCATTTCTCCTTAATGGATTAAAGTATTCTATGCTAAATACTATGCATTAGAAACAGCTATCCTGACAAAACTTTTTTTACATCAAGGCTTCAAAATTTCAACAAAGTTTAAACATTATTTAGATATAACAATTATTTTACAAAGACTACTTTTAACATGAGCAGGCCACCCACAGTGTTGACTAGAGAAAATGGCATGCAAGCCACCCAGTGAGACTGATGTAATTTTTTTTTCATCTTTGCTGAAAGTATAGTCACTAGACCAGATAATGTAGAAACTTCTACATACAACGATCAAAATAGCTAAAACAGTTCCACTTTTTTTTTTTTAGTTAATTAAAAGTCATGGGTTGAAAAAATGCAAATATTCGCATGCAATGTAAATCTGCCCTAGTATTAATTAAATTCTATTATTCTGTGTTAGGATATAATCCTTACTACAAAGTAGAATGCTTTTTAGACTGGATAAGAAAGGTTTTAAGGCTATATTCAATGTATTTATTAAAGATAAATTCACAGATAACATCGAAACTTAATTGCATGAAATTGTTGACAAAGGCTGGATCCTGTGTGCAATGACGCCAGTAAGACTTTCAGTACAATTTGAAGACAATTTGTATTCATTCTGTTACAGTAACCAGCTTAGTTAGACTTCTTTTCAGTCATGCTGTTGTCTTGACTTAATAATTAGTAATTTAAAATATCAAATATTGTTAATAATTTTTAAGACATAATTTGAAAACGCAAAAAAAATAGTTTGCAAAACCTGGTGATAACTTTTAAAGCTAATGACAGTAATTACCATAATGAAATTATACTTTTCTAAAAAGAAAACTTGCTATGTCTTTTTCCATATCCTGAGATGCATAATTTAGTTGTAAAATGTAGATCCAGAGCCAAAGCAAACTATAAAATATCTGCAGCAAAGTTAAGCATTTGAAATAGGAAAGAGCGATTGTTTTTAATTGTGCAGGGGTCTTACCACATTAAAATATTAAGTGGTTCACTGTGAAATAGTATTTCATCAGTTGTAAAATGTTAACAGAGTTGAACAAAAAAGTATAAAAATTGAGCAATAATTACTCATATGCTCTGAAAAATCTTGAATGACTCATTAAAATGAGGAAAATCTGTATGTCATTGGAACAGATTACTTACTCCACTTTTTATTTTCATCCTTTTTAAAATAGGAGCCAGTAATACAGCAGATACTTTATTCCAAGAAGTGCTGGGTCGCAAGGACAAAGCTGATTCAACAAGAAACGCTCTTAATGTTCTTCAGCGTTTTAAATTTCTTTTCAACCTTCCCTTGAATATTGAAAGAAATATCCAGAAGGTATAAGCCTTTAGAAATACTTTTCTATTGCTGAAATTAGTGTTACCCTTTTCTTGACAAATATAAATGTTAGTTGTTTATGTGTGGTTTTGTTTCTTTTTGTTTTCTTTTAAGGGTGATTATGATGTGGTTATCAATGACTACGAAAAAGCCAAGTCACTGTTTGGAAAGACAGAGGTTCAAGTCTTCAAAAAATGTAAGTTATGGGTTCTGTTATTTGCCTACTTCTCCCCCCCCCCCACTTGAAGGCTAAAAAGCACAGAGTAGTCTAAAGAGCTTTACATGGGTTCATATACTTTTTAATACATACAAATACAGATTTATAAGAAGCAATTACTCTAAACAGTGTTTCTGTCAAGTTTTCTGGGTGGGGTTTATATTACAAAATGTTAAATCGCAGGCAATTTTATTTATTTATTAATGTTTGATGTTACTGGGCATAAAAAAGGTTACAGTAATTAAAATGTAAGTTTGGGTATCTCACTGGTGTATCATTGGAAAGGCTTCAAAGTCCAATTTTCTGTTTTTGTAGAACTGTCATGTGCAGATTTTTCTGATGTGGCTTGTTATGAAATTAGTTATATTTATTTCCACATTAACTCTAAAGCGTCTGATATCCTAGAAAAATAACATAATTTTCAGTTCATACCACTGCTGAAGGCACACACTGGATTTATTTCCTCTCCCTATTCCTAGATTATGCTGAAGTTGAAACTAGAATTGAAGCTTTAAGAGAACTTCTGTTGGATAAGCTGCTTGAAACTCCATCAACATTGCATGATCAGAAACGTTATATAAGGTAATCATTTGACTAGTGTCTTTGTCAAGCATAATGAATCTTTCCTAAGTAGGGTATTGACTATTTTTACTATGGTTTAAATACTAATTTTAAAGCTGTACTTAAGAGTACTTCAAGATTTCATGATTATGTAAATAATGGCAAGGGATTGGTACTTGATTGTTTGTTGAATGACTGAAAAATAGTTCTTGGATTAGAACAATTTCATGAAGGGTAATTGAAATTTGAATTTAATTTTTTAAGATCTTAAAGGCATGTTTCAGTTCTCTTGCTTCCTCTATACCACCATGTTGCAAGCTGTGTCTGAAGTGATTGTTCACAGATTGCAGATCTCAAAATAAATTCCTTATTAACTTGGTTTACACTTCAGCTTGATTTGGTGTTGAAATTGAATCATCCTGAGTGAGATAATCCATTTTAATCCAAACTGTCATTTAAATTTGGTTTTGGCTCTTTTACTACTCAGTCTAAACAAGTATAGAAATTCTTAGATTTTCTGTTATTCACAAAGGTGATGTTGGAGTTTGTTGCAGGCATACTGACATGAGTGGGTTGGATCTTTTATTGTCAGACCTTAACCTTCTTTACAGCCTTTGGAGCCAAATTTTAGAGTGCTCTAGAATATTTGATGGCTTTACCTAGAAAGCATTTGAGTTTTGGATGTTACATGGTGTCCTACTGTGGCTTGACATCCTCGGAGCTCTTTTCAGTTATTTTAGAAGATATAGACCAAATAGGCTGTGTGAAAAGCACTCTTAAAATTGACACCTGCCCAAAGTCTTTGTTCTGTATGCTCATGAGGCCCAGTCGCACTGGTCCAAGTAAAGTATTGGTATCTTAGGTCCCTTTATGTAATGTTAGTTGTACACTGGTCATTGTTGTCAGTATAATTTATGTGGAGCACTTCTCATTCTTCTGAGTGGTATATAAATATTGCCTATTTATTGGAACTGTGTTTTAAGGTAGTTAAGTATTTTGTGTCTCTGAAAAAGACACTACTGTTTCCTTTCTGTGTCAGTCCTGAAAACTTCAGAGAGCAGCTTCATCTAAGCCCGTAAGACATCTTCTGAGGATTGTTAGAAGAATTCTAAGAATCAGAGTTGTATAAACAGTTGATTCTATTGTTGTTTTTTTTTTTTTCTTCTTTCTTGTTTAGACTTTTTTGGTGGGTTTTGTGTTGTTTTGGGGTTTTTTATTTCGTTTTAGTTTTTCTCTAGCCCCTTACCTTCAAGTATTGAATCTTTAAAAAGTATCCCAGCCTACCTTAAAGCAGACTGTGTTGATGTAACTACCACATGTAGAGCAGTATAATGCAGGAGAGCAGACAGTGGACAAATGTGAAATCATTTAGTTCTAATAAATTAAGAGAATCCCAGCATACAAAGCAATTAAATTAGTTTCACTACTCTAGATATGCTAATGTGGTTGTACTAATTTACATTTTCTGGAGGAAAGGTGTGAAGAAAGCTGAAGTGCTGTGAAGAAAGCTAAGAGGAAGTTAACAAAATCCTAATTGTACAATTGTTTGCATTTTTAAGAGACTTTTTCTTCCTAGATATGTTTGTTTTGTATGTCTCCAATGTCAAGGCTGAGCAAGACTTGAGATATTGTGGTTTTCCCCCTCAGATATTCAATGTTGATCTTTATAATTAGGCTTCAGGTCTTATTTTTCTCTCATTTTATTACGGTATTTACAATGCTAATTATTTTATACTTTTCAGAAACAGTTTACCACATCACTTAACAACCAAGTAGATGTATTTTTTCAAAGATCAGTGGTAATGTTTTTAATTTTGTCTAAGCAAAGACTGAAGTCCCCCTTAACACTAAGGAAGGCCTTAAGCTCATAATTTATAAATGTCACCCTGTCAAAATGGTTGGTCATGTAATGTTCTCATCCATCCAACCAATCCTACTTTGACAGTTTATTTTTGTTCAAGTACTGCAGGCAGTTGTTAAAGAAGGCAGGATTTTGCAATACAGTCTTAATTAACAGTAGGCATTGTTGTAGTAATTCAGCTTTTGTGAAGGAGTTAAACATTCTCTGCACTGCTTAAGATAATAAATCATTGTACTTCACCTTGAGCATCTTGAATTTTTTAACCTGACCTGAGTCATTAGTGCAGAATGTGGTGGAATGCATTAAATAATAAAGCAGCTACTGCTTTTTTAAAATACTCTTTTGTAAGTACTGTTGTCAGATTGTCTTGAATGCCATACGTTTGACTTTATTACTTTTGTTTTCTCTTTGAAATCGCAGCAGCTGTCTCTAATACTTCTCTCTCCCCAAAAGTCAGAGGGTGATTTTTTTTCCCATATCTTAGAAGCCCCAGTGCTTATCTCTCCCCATTCTTTTTTTCTCTGGACTGACTTTGTATGCACATCATAGGTAGAGCAAAAAAAAAAAATCTCACCCCTAAAAAAAAAAACAAACAACAAACCAAAAAAAACCAACCAAAACAAAACAGCAGCCAAACAAAAAAACCACAACCACCCTATACTCTGCTGCCCCTGCCAAAAGGAAAAAAATAAAGCCAACATGTGAAAACCCCAAAAGAAATTTAAAAAAAACAAAAAACAACAACAACAACAAAAAAACCCTCCACCACAGTCCAGAAGTTTGGTTTACATTGTTTGTACATGTGTTTGCTAAAATTAATGAGCTGCCAAAAAATAATTTCTACTGTACTTGTTAAGGTTACATGATGATACAATCAGGACAAGTAAAATGGGAAGAAAAATACCATATTTTATGTGCTTGAGATGTTTAACTTGGAATCGGTGATGACATGAAGTACTGAGCTGCAGCCATGGCAGACAAAGAGCTTGATTTCCCAAGTACTTGAGGCACAACTGAAAATACGTATTAATATAATATTAAATATATATGGTTTTGTTTATTTCTGTAAGGTTTTTAGATAAAATTTTACCTCACTAGAGGATGAAGGGAGAATGCAAAGCTTGTGCTTGTTGGGTATGAGTGTATCTTAACTATTCTTGAATTTTTTTATATATATATATGTATTTAAAAAAAACATTTCTTAGTACATCTTTGTTTTAATGAGGCCTTCAGTGTGTCAAGTCAGAGCTGTGATTTTTGGACTCGGTTTTACAGATATCTTTCTGATCTTCATGCGCCTGGGGACCCTGCTTGGCAGTGCATTGGTGCTCAACATCAGTGGATTCTGCAGCTTATGCACAACTGTAAGGAGAGCTATGTTAAAGAACAAAAAGGCAAGGATATATTTTTCTTCTACATATATGTATTTGACATCTAAGAATTTGGCATTGCCTTTTATTTGACAAGTCTTGGTGTACAAATGATATTTGGGGGGGGTCCTATCAATTTTGATAGCTTTTCAAAGTCGAATACTGTCTTGTATTTTTTTCTCTATACTGTTATAAAAACAAAACAGCAGTTTGAGTTTTCTTTTTGTTTAACTTACAACTTTTAAGCTCTTTACATGGGAAAAGAGTTAGATTTCAATCATTTATCTGAAGCTTACTGTCCTCTCAGAATACTCCTTTCAGGTCCCATGAAGTTTGGATTGTTTTCTGACAGATTTCTTTGTCACAAGATACGCTGTTAGTATATGGAAATGCAGAGCATTGGGGCATAGTGGAATAATGTTTAATTTCTTGATAGGCAGAATAATAATATGGTGCTGTCTCATTCTTTGTTCATAGGCAGTTTCAAAATTCAGATTAGTGTTCAGACACAGACCTGTGAGCTGGACAAATAGGATGTTTAGAAAATGTTATATTAAGACCAATAGGAATACTTAGTTGTATTCTGTCTTTGTCTTTGCCATTGTTGCTCCCCCAAAAAGGTACAGGTATTTCTTTCAGGTGTGGCAGCAACTTATATACCAGTTAACATGATCCTTCGCATTACTGTATTTTCAAAAGGTTGGCTGTATGGGCCTCATATTTCTAGTAGTAAAATCTGTTAACTGGATTTTCAAATTGGAAACTGATAAGTAGTATCTTATTTCTCAAGAAGTCTCAGAGTTTGCTGCTGTTTCTGAAATGAGTAGGCATATCGGAAATTGGTTCTCTCTTGGCTTATAGGTAACTCCTGTGTTTAGTGAATGCATATCCCTAACCAAATAAGGCGTTCTATTCTGAAACACCACAAAAACTTTACTGAGTTGGAGCTACTGCAGAAATGTGCTAGAAATGTGCTGTAAAATTGTTGCAGGAGGCTTAACATCTCTTTGTTCGACAACACAATGTGAAGTGCTGTGGGACCAGCTGAAACACCAGGTTGGTTTCTTGACTTCTTGGTCAAAATTCAGAATGTTTCGAAAAGCTCCCCATCTTCCCTTCTTGTCAAAAACCCTGACATGACACCACCATGACCCCTGCAAAATGGAGTTATCGGGAGCAAAACTCACTTGTAAAAACAGCTGTGGTTAACAAATCTAAGCTTGCTTTTTCTCCTCTCACTTGCAAAATATTATTTAGCCATTTCTTAGCTTCTTAACAAGAAAAACAGGAGCATGAAGGTACAAAGTGATCAAGATGTTTTTGGTTTAGTAGTCTATATAATTTTGATATGCAGGCTCCAGTAAATGAATGAAAAATGTGTCTAAATTCCTAGGCTTGTCTTGAAAATCTCAACCTGTTTGGTGTTTTTCTTGCAACAAATCTGCTTACCTCAGCCTTAATATCAAAGGGGCTATTATGTTAGCTTTGTTTGGGCTCACAGAAGAAGGAATTTAAATAACTTGAATGCCAGGTAAATGCATGTATGAATAGTTACTATTTAGTGCATGTATGAAACAAATGCTAATATAGTATTACTTTTATTAAAGAGCTCATCGAATTTCAGTAGTTTTCTTCAGCCTTTTATGTGGTCCTTACTGATGTAGTTTTTGCACGGATTGTAAAATACTTAAGAATTGATCCCAGTTGATGGAATTTCTCATTTAGTATCTAGTAGGATAAGGGAGAAGGTTGCTAAATGTGATTTTTTTTTTTCCTCTCTAGATTTTTAATTTTGGCATAAACTGAAAAGTTGGGAGAAGTTAAAAAGAAAACTCAGAAAAATTGTTTTTAATTGCCAAGTAGAATAGTGCTGATTGTGATCTGAGACATCGAATGTATTTTAATCTACTTTAATAGAAGTATGCTTTTCAAACAGAAAAACTGTGGGGTTTGACTAAATATCAAATTGGTTATTCGAGGCTTTGAGGAATGTAATCAACTTACATAAGCTACAAATGTGTTTTATATGTTCATAAATTCACAGGCTATTAAAAAAAAAAAAAAGGGCAATAAATTTTCAAACATTGAAGCCCTTATAACATGCTTCCAGAAAAGATTCTTTTGTATATCGTGCATTTGGAGAAAGAGGTGGGTCATAAGACTATTAAAAGGGCTTTGAAACTTTTTCTAGGTTTTTCTTTTCAGCAAAGACAAATAGGTATTGTTTTTAGTAGATGGAGTCTTCCTATCGCATATTTTGCAATAAGCGCACAGTGATTACAGTTCTACCTTGAACATGCCAACAGTTTCTGGCTGTTCTTAGTTTAGTTCTTCTTCTGACTGTGAATCTGTGGGTTCAAACTGACTTGAGTCAAAACTTTTCAGCATAATAAACTTAAACCTCAGTAGCAGATCATATCTATTTTTCACTTGTGCACAGTTCTTCAACTTTCAACCGAGTTTGTGCAAAAGCATTTTTTTGTTATGTTATCAGTTTTCAAAGTAGAGCTGTGGTCTGAGCTGTTCCACGTGAATTTTACTACATAAAATGGATTTGGACTTATAATAATCCAGCAGTGTAAATAAAGCAGTTTACCACTGTTGTGGTAAAAAGTTGTTCCAGTTGTCTCCACACTACTAGCAGGCTAACACGTTAGTAGAATCATAGAATAGTTAGTGCTGGAAAGGACCTTAAGATCATATAGTTCCAACACCCCTGCCATGGGCAGGGACACCTCACACTAAACCGTGACACCCAAGGCTCTGCCCAATGTGGCCTTGAACACCACCAGGGATGGAGCATTTCACAACTTCCCTGGGCAACCCATTCCAGTGCCTCACCACCCTCACAGTAAAGAACTTCTTCCTTATATACAATCTAAACTTCCCCTGTTTAAGTTTTTACCCGTTACCCCTTGTCCTATCACTACAGTCCCTGAGGGAAAGTCCCTCTCCAGCATCCTTGCAGGCCCCTCTTCAGATACTGGAAGGCTGCTATGAGGTCTCCATGCAGCCTTCTCTTCTCCAGGCTGAACAGTATCACAGTATGCCAGAGACTGGAAGGGACCTCTAAAGATCATCTAGTCCAACAGCCCCAACTTCCTCAGCCTGTCTACATATGGGAGGTGCTCCACTCCCCTGATCATCCTCGTGGCCCTTCTCTGGACTTGTTCCAACAGTTCCATGTCCCTTTTATGTTGAGGACACCAGAACCGCACACAATACTCCAAGTGAGGTCTCACAAGAGCAGAGTAGAGGGCAGGATCACCTCCTTCGACCTGCTGGTCACGCTCTTTTTGATGCAGCCCAGGATACGGTTGGCTTTCTGGACTGTGAGCGCACACTGAAGCCAGCTCATGTTCATTTTCTCCTCAACCAGCACCCCCCAAGTCCTTCTCCGCAGGGCTGCTCTGAAACACTTCTCTGCCCAACCTGTAGCTGTGCCTGGGATTGCTCTGACCCATGTGTAGGACCTTGCACATGGCATGGTTAACATACTGGTTACAAGTAATTACAAGTTAGTAGTAATTACAAGTTAGATGCAGCATCTTCTGCTGTCTTCTTTAAGAGATTTATTGATGTATCGTCTGCTTCATAATGGCAGTCAGAACAAATCTTCGATATTGATGAGAAGTAAATCTACTTTTCTGCATCCTCGGTAGGTTCTTTGTCTTTGATGCTTGCCCTCTTGTTAATAAGGCTCTCCTAAGCATAGCTGAAGAGTGAGCTAATATACATGCTGGTGTGGTTGAAGGTACTATCAGAAAATTGTGTATCTAAATTCCTTTGGTTTTATATCTGAAGTATATCTTTTTGATCTAAGCATGAATCCTTCACTCCCAGTAGTACTGTTATGTGAGAAGTTGTGGTTTGGGTTGTTGCTGGGGTTTTTGGTCTTTTTTTTATAAAGAAACAAAAAAAGGGGAGGAGGGGTAAAAAAAAAAAAAAGCCTCTGTGCTTGAATGTTACCAGAGGTTAGCCCCATTTTGTGGAAGTACTCCATAGCTGTAAGCATGTCCTAGAACAGTGAAGTTTCGTAAAGTTTCATAACATAGCACAATCTCTGATGCAGCCTGAAAGAAGAAGCTGGCAAGTTTACAAGGTTGTAATGGTCTGGAGTTTTCTCCTGGAATTTGTTTCAAGGAGCAGAAGTCCTATGTATTTCAAATACTGTCTGTTTTCACTTACTCCGACTTGTGTTAATACTATTTCCCACACCTGAAAGGTATATCAAGCTGTGCTGAGCTTTGTCAAATAATTTGGCAGTGCAACATAAAGGCTGACAACTACCAACAGCAAATTGTTCAGTTGGATGTTTCCTTTGATTTTTTTAATAGACAGTTCTTAATAGTAAAAGATGAAATAATACGATCATTAGGTAATTGGTTACATTTATTTCAATGGGTACAAGTAGTACGTGGAATTCTCTCAAGTCCTGTATACAAAGTACGTTACAGCAGTATGTTCGAGTGTATTTCCCTTGAAGAATACCTTTGCCCTGTTCCCACTCAAACAGCCATGCTGGTTTGCCAGTTACTCTTAAATTGCATTGATTAATGTTTCATTACATGTTCATTTATAGCTGTTGTTACTCGCTCATCATTGCCTTCAGCCTATTTCTTGCTCCGCATATCCATAGTTCTTCAATTGTGAGGTAAAAAAAAAAAAAATGCAGGCAGATGATGTACATATTAAGAGAAATTGTTGCACATGTTTTAAGGGGTGGGTGAATATGCATATATGACAGCAGATCAGAATTTCTCCTGCTCTGAGGTGCTCCCAAGTATGAGCAGCCAAAACAAAGGGACCGAACACCATAGCCAAAGTCATAGTTGAAGCATGAGGAGGTACAAGGGGTGACCAAATCGTAAAGCTCCTTTGCTTGTATCCTTACATTAAGCTATTCTCCTGCTTCTCTGATTGTTAGAATCATCCATTAAAGGTACATCTGTAGATATGGGACCCATGTGCAACTCACTGGAAATCTAGTTCTGCTGACATAGTAATTCTTGTAAATATATGAA